AAATAGGATTGCGAAGGAGGCTGGGTATCCTTATGAGAGAATAAACTCTTGAAAAAATCGTGAACATGTTGCTTAAGATCTGCCGGATCATGAACCCATGAGTCTCCAATTTTTAAAGCAGAAATTTTATTCCTACCCCTTCGAATGATTGTGGAGGCATGATAGAAATTTGTATTTCTGTCTCCAGAAGCAATCCAATCCTGACGAGATTTTTGACACCAGAAAAGTACCTCAGCATGGAGAGCTCGATGATATTCGTCAAGCAATTCAACTTCCAAGTTTTGCAAAAAATGAGAAATTGCATAGTATTGGGAATTTTGGATTCCTGCCAACCGAGCTTGTAAGTGCCTTTTTTTTTTTAAATATATCACCAAAAACATCGCGATTCCATTGAATACAAGTCTCACGAACAGAACTGATAGCATCTGGTAAGGAAAGACTATGAGCTGACCAAGCTTCTGAGAAAACTGTCCCAAAGTTTTCATAAGTCAACCAAGCTGCTTCAAATCTCATTGGCTTTGCATTGCGGTTCACTGGAGAAGAAGTATCTACACAAAGCATAACAGGGTGGTGATCACTACAAAGACGAGGACGGTTTATAATCTTGGCCTCTGGGTATGCCTCCAAAGCAGACAAATTAAAGAGGGCACGGTCGAGCTTTTCTCGCAGAGATACTCTGCCATTTATCTTCCGAACCCAAGTAAAAGCACACCCAAGGGACTCTTTTGAGTGTAAGCCACACTGAGCAAGTCGATCCCGAAATCTTTGTGCTCGAACAAAGCGGCTTCCAGCTCGCGGAGAAGCTTCACCCGCTGATGCAATATCATTGAAGTCACCCATAGCTATCCAACTTCCAGAAATGGTAGGAGCTAATTGAATAAACTTATCCCAAAAAATACTTTTCATTTCTCCATGTGGTTGTACATAAGCAAACGTAATGATAAAGGAAATGTGATGTTGGGAAAGAGAACAATGGATAAATTGAGTATTTATATCCAGGACTTCCAAATAAATAGAAGATGATTTCCAAAATAGCCAAAGGCCCCCTGCACGTCCTTGAGAAGGAACTCGAAACTGTTGGTCAAACCTAAATTGCTTCATGAATTCAAGAGCTTTAACACTATCGTCGGCTTTTGTTTCCAAGAAGCAAATGACATCTGGCTTATGCATCTTCAACAATTCTTTGCATTCTCGTCGGAACGGGCCATGCTGAACCCCTCGACTATTCCACGTTATAACCTTCATTAAGAAAAGATGTCAGATTTAGTGGCTGTACTAAAAACAGCCAAAGTGTGGGAAGTTTCAACCATAGAAGGCTGAGATTCTTTAGAGGATGTGGTGGTGGTTGATTGACCCGTGTCAGAGCTAGTGGGAGAAGGATTACATAACTGTGTTGTGGGCGGATCCCCCACTAGGCTGGGGAGCATTCTTTGGGTTAAGGTAGAACCTATCAAAGATTGTTGAGCTATTTGGTTTGAAGGAAGCTCTAAGGCATTTGCATCAGAGGGTTTCTTTGGCAATGAGGATGTAATGTAAGGCTTCGGGTGAAGGGGTTTAGCTACTTTGGAAATTGGGCCCAAAGGTTTATTCTTTTTTTTTGTTGTTCTTGAGCTTGGGCTTTATAAATGAAGTCGAAGGTGCCGGCGGAGGCTTAGCAACAGCTAAGGCAAGCTCAGGAGAGTTGATGGTAGTAGGTGCAGGCTGGCCTACTCGGGCTTTGGCGTCCACATCCTGTGGAGCTGTGTGATCTGGCAATAAAGTAATATCCATAGGGGAGGTAATCAATGGTTGAGTCATATCCTGCGGAGCAGATCCCTCCATGCTAGTATCCTTTCCTTTATTAGAAATATGCAAATTTGAATCCTCCTCCATAATCTCCGCAATAACCTCAAATCTGTTAGTGCGTGATTTAGTGGGTGCACTTGATTTTGCACGTCTATCCAAGCCCACAACTTTAGCCGAGGTTGAAGGCACTGAATTCGAATTTCCCGTGTTTAACGGTTGAGAAGAACCGTCACCTCCAGTCAACTGCTCGGCCGAACGGTGAGGTTGAGAGCGGCGACGTTGTTTTTTTTGCTGCACCATCCAAGGACCGAAAACCATGTTGTTATCCACAGGGTCAGGTTTGAGAGATTGAGTCAACTCAACCATGGTTTTGGCATTTGGGTTACTAACTGGTGAAGGCTTCCCTGGATTCTTGAAGCGACAAAATTCCATTTTATGACCAAATTCGCCACAATGAAAACATATTTTATGCAAACCTTCATAGTCAACTAATATCAAGGATTGAGGCAGATCCTCAAGATCAAGATCCACAGAGGAAGGCAAAGGTTGGCTCAAATCAACTTCGACGCAAACACGAGCATATTGACCTCTCGTGGCGAGAAGAGTAGTGGGATCAACCTTGATTGGCTTCCCGATCTTGCTGCCAAGATACATACAGATGGCTTCATAAAAGCAAAGAATGGGAACGCCAAACAATTTGACCCATACGGCAGTTTTGGGCGCTTTAGCACGCGCTGGATGAAACCCAGGCTCCCATGGCTACACAGCAAGATAATGATCAAACATCTTGTACGGACCGCCAGTTAATACCATGGAACAATCCTGAGATGAAGAAAATTTAACGATGTAATATCCCAAACCCACATCAATGATTTCGAATTCATGTTCCGTTCGCCATTCTTTGAGTAACCGGGCGTGTAGGACATGGAAGTTAATGGATTTCCCCAGAAGTTTAATGATTACTGCATTCTTCCACGGAGTGCAAAGGCGTTGCCAGATCTCCTTAGGAATCCTAACCTTAGGAACTTTCACCTGGGTAGGGGCATCACCATCTTCCAACATTGGTGCAGGAGGTTCTAAGGTCTGATTTGCAGCCACAAGTTCTTCATAGGTGACCAGAGGCTGTGAAATAGTAGCATTACCATCAATTAGAGTATCTTTGAAAGATTTCAGTTCAGAAAGGTTTTGGGTTGAGGACAAGGAAGGTGGAAGCAGATTTGCTGGAGAAGGAATACTCGAGAGAGGGGTAGAGACGTCAATGGGGGGTGGGGGGGCTCGGGTCACCGGCGGAGGTTCTGGAGAGAGAGGCTCCATCTTTTTCGCTTCGAAACCTGTTTTGTTCTGCGTTCTATATCGAGCTCTACACTACATGGCAGAGAAGGAAGAAGACGAATAAGATGGAGTAGGGAAAAGCTTAATTTTATTGCGAAGGCGAAATGGGATCCAATGACGTAGGAAATTGAACTCCTGTCAAATTAACCACGGCATATGCTTTAGTTTTTATTTTTTATTTTTTTTAACCATGGCATATGCTTTGTGTTATATCACTAATTAATAATTTTTTTATTAATTTTACGCTGCTTTCTGAGAAAATATAGATTAAACTAAATTTCAAAATAAACCCGGTCTTATTTACTTCGATACAATAATAATAAAGTGTACCAACGAGGAGTTAGATCAAGTGGCAAGCGGCTTGTTCCAACTTAAGTAAGGTCTCGAGTTCGAGTCCTTGTGTACGCAGCAGTCTTTATTGGGAGACCCACCCACTATTCTGGTGCGCCACAGCTGGTCGAGTCCGGAATAATCGGGGCAAAACCCCGAATACCGGGCGGGAAACCCAAAAAAAAAACGATAACAATAAAGTGTACTTACGCTTTGTGATCATGAATCGTAATTAACGGACTGGCATGGTCCGAATAAGAAAGATTCTAGACTGAAGGCACAATTTAACTTCTTTACTTTAATTGTTGTGACATATCAACCCTTCAATCGGATTTCTTCCCTTTATAACACCCTTGAACAAATGGGCAAGGTGGATAAACTGTACAAGCTTGACTTAAGCGCATCATTAATGATGATTTCAATTAGTCTTATTTTAAAGACGGTTAGGCCTTTAGTTGGAGATGGTTACAAACTACGTGAGCCTCCCAACGAAGCCAACATAAATCCTATCCGAATAAAAAAAAATAAAAGGCAGTTTCGGTGGTGCAAATTGACCCTCAACT